GGAACTTTTAAAGAACCAAACACTGGAGAGATTATGCCTTTGGAAGAAGCATTCAATAGAGGAATATTAGAATTACCATCTGAAGGGCTAATTGAAACATCAGAAGAAACTCCAGCATATCCCACCGAGACATTTACGAAAACGATTCGGAGGACTATTATAACCCACTCAGAGGAGCCATCACCATCTCCTGATAAAGAATCACCTACAAAGGAAGCTCCAGAAATGGAAATTTTAAGTCCTAAGAAAACTTCATTTGTCACGTCATTTGAATATCAATCAAGAGAAGAAGAACCTGGGTTAACCAGAGGTCGGGAACCTTTGAAACCAGAAGTAGCGACAGAAGAGCCAGATACCCAACACTCTGTTCTTACACTCCAATTAGATAAACCCAAAACGCAGAAGGTACCGGAAAAATCCACTTCTCCAACCAAGCAAGTAATCAGACCCAGTAGAAAATTGGAAGAAGCTGATGATGAAACCAGTAGAGACTACATAACAACAGTAAAAGGAATTGTCAATCCTAAAACAAGAGAGCTGCTAACAATGGCTGAAGCTATAACATTAGGCATCTTGAATATCGAGACTGGCCAATACACTGACCTGAGAAGTGGAAAGAACATGAACCTTCCGGATGCAGTTTCGAAGGGACTGGTTGATGACGACTTTATGAATCGTATCACTGAATCATGTGGTATTGTTGATTTGAAGACAGGAATAGAGTTAACATTGATTGAGGCCATTCAAAAGGGCTTATTTGATCCAGATAAGGGATACTTTCTCGATCCGGAGAATGGAAGACCTATATCTGTTGATGAGGCTGTGAGAATGGGTGTCATCACAGAAAATAAAGTGGTACACTGATTGAAAGAAAAATTTTCAAAATATTCAAGTTGACCATCATAGAAGCTATAAAGAAAGGATTATTAAACCCACATACAGGACAGTTTCTAGACCCAAGGACCAATCAGTGTATGACTTTGAAAGAGGCCTTTGAGAAAGAGTTCCTATTTCACATGCCTGTGTGGAGTGAAGGAGGTTTACCATTGACTGATGCTATAGATAGAGGTATTATAAACAATGAAACAGGACAGATAGTGGACGAGGATTCTGGAGAAAGTTTCACCATTGATGAGGCTATTCTTAGAAGTGTTATAAGAAACAATGTTTATGAAGTGGTTAACACTGAATCTGGTGAAATTCTGTGTGTGCCAGAAGCACTTTCTCAAAATGTCATTAATGCCCAAATGGGACGATTCGTCAGCAAAAAAACTCAAGAAAGGCTTACCTTCCAGCAAGCCTATGAGAAACATTTTCTATTAAGACCACTAACCTTAAAAGGTACACATGAACAGGAATTGTTGGAAAACACTGGAAAAGTGACCAATCCAATAACTAAACAAGAATTGACAATTCTTGAAGCAATTGCTAATGGAATTCTAAACATAGACGTCAAGTCAGTCATTGATCCAAAGACCGAGGAA